CCCACACCCACCCCCACACCTACCCACACCCACACCCACACCCACACCCACCCCACACCCACACCCCAAATTTCAATTTTAGCAGACTAGTTTATTTTCAGTGGTTAGTCATTCTTTTCTGCTAATCAAGAGCTACTCAAGGTACTTTTTGTTGTCGTTCAGTACAGATGTATAGGGACTACACTTTATATCTTACACTCATTGTAATAGCAAAACATTAGGCAATACTTGATAATCATGGTTTGTTACTTTTTTAAGCCCAGTTTTACTCTCAGCTTACAAGACTTATATGACAAAGAGACTCCAAAATTGAGAGAATAATCTACCCATGATTTCAAAATCGACAATGTCAATGAAAATTCTCCGGCTTTGTTTATCGATCTATTTTGAAATATTATTTAGGTGATACTTTCTCAACTCAAATGTTCATTGTAATATTTTTGTTTTAACGTTAAAATGAAAGAAATGTTTTCGTCATCAGCTAAGAGTTATTATAAACACGATAATTATTTAACAGTTAGATATATCAGTGCCTCACACTGGAAAGCAGTCTGTAAGTGGACGCACTGAATGAAATTTATGAGTAATCGAGTAAAAATAAGAAATTAGCTACACCTGTTTTATCCACTCTTAGTGTATATGACTGTTACAGATTTCCCTCTCTGTAACGAAGCCTGATGTTTGTAAAATATTCGGTTAGATTCAGCAAAATTCAATCTATTCGAATTATTGTCTTCCCTTTTCGGTACTTGTTTGTTATCGCCCCGCAATTTTTTTAAAATTTTTTAGTATTACCGTATCCTTTAACTTTTAACCTTTTCATCTTATTATCATTCCTATTATGCCCAATATGAATGATAGTAAGATGAAAAGATTAAAAGTTAAAGGATATGATAATATTAATAAACTAAAAAAAATTTTGCGGGGCGATAACAAACAAATACCCCCTTTTCTTTTTTCGTTCATATATACATATATTTTCATACATAAGAAACAGAAATATAAAAGTAAAATACAAAGAGAAAGATGAATAGTGTTTCTCTACTGCAGGCCAGACTATTTAACATAAGGAAGGTGACGACCAACATGTTCTTTTGTTGGAATGTCCTTATATTTAGAGCAGAAGAAAAGAGTAATAATTTATTGAAATTGTGACAGTCGGATAAGAAAGTAAAAGAGAAAAGAGGAAGAGAGAGAAAACAAGAAAAGAAAAGTAAAGAAAAGAATAAGTAACGATGTATCGTAGAGCATTCTAACAAAGCAAAACATATATATAAGTATATATTTGAATGGAAATCGGTTCTAAATATTTGAAACCGAATCGAATCGAACCGAAAAACTTTCAAACCGAACCGAACCAAACCGATCGAATTTTTCAAAATTTCGAACCGAACCAGCTTCGGTTCGGTTCGGCTCGGTTCGATTTCAAACCGAACCGGTCCCATCACTGATAGGTACCAAGGGGCTCGAAATCCGAACAGAACGAGAAAAAAATGTGTACATTTGCGTTTCGACCGTTCGTTGCCCCCATCGTTAGCTTTTCAGGGCTTGTTTGAATCGACTTTTCTTATTTTTTTTCATACTAATTTTGACACGAAACAATATTGAATAAACTTTGATACGTTCTAAGATTACTTGCACATGATCCTGAACTAGGAAATTGCCAAAAAATTTAAAGAAAGTAACTTCATTTTTTTTCACTTTACTTTACTTTTTGGGTAAAGTATATCTACTTTACTGTATCGGATAAAGTCAAGTGAATATACTTTACTGTATCGGATAAAGTAAAGTGAATATACTTTACTGTATCGGATAAAGTCAAGTGAATATACTTTACTTTATCCGATAAAGTACAGTGAATATACTTTACTTTATCCGATAAAGTAAAGTGAATATACTTTACTGTATCGGATAAAGTAAAGTGAATATACTTTACTTTATCGGATAAAGTAAAGTGAATATACTTTACTTTATCGGATAAAGTAAAGTTCGAATACTCCACTTTATTTGGTAAAGTAAAGATAAAGTGCCACCCTATGCCAGGGTGACACTTGTAAGCGAAATAAAGTTTTCAACAGTTACCAGTTTTGTAATTGCAATGAGTTAATGCAATAAAAGGGATTTAGACAAAAGTAAAATTCTGGTAAATTATTTGTACTACAAAAGGATGTGGGTGTGGATGTAGAGAAAGGGGATGAGGGTGGGGTGTGAATATTAGTGGATCTAGGTGTGCTTAAAAAACTGATCCACTCATACTCCCACACCCACATCCACAGTTTACTACAAACCACCCTACACTCCGTATTCACAACCACCCTACACCCAGCGCCACAGCCAAACCCACACTCACATTCACCACACGCTATACACTCACACTCACACCCAGATTAAAAAACAGGTAACTCCTGGAGCCATCGTCGAATTTCCAGAGAATCTATTGTTTTTACTCTTTTCTTAGCGTGTTTTAAGGTTTACCAATTAAACACAGCTTTCCTCCATCTGCAAAAATATCTGCCAAAAAACCCAACAAGAAAGATAATAATATTTTCTTTCCATGTTTCTTTCGTCAACAATAAATTTTATCGTTGCTCTCTTCAAGATCGCCTCTTCAATGATGAAGTAATCTATATAAGGAGGCGACTTCGGCTGCATTTTCAGCGATTTTTGACTTTTATAACATTTCAATTCAACTGCTATGCGCAATCAAGTCTAAAACGCAACATCAGGTAGGAGATCCATCAGAAAAAAGGAAATCAAGAAGCTGTGTATCAGAAACATGTGAATATGGGTAGGCGTAGCAGTGACGGCGTCAGTGAGGATGACGATGAAGAGAACACTCGCAATCGCAACGCGGCATCGATCCCACAGTCACATTCAGACATGTAAAGGCACAACCACGGGTGTGGGTGTAGGTGTGGGTGTGGGTGTGGGTGTGGGTGTGGGTGTAGGTGTGGGTGTGGGTGCGGAGTGTGGCTGTGGCTGTGGATATGCACGTGAAGGAAGACACTCATAACAACACCCACACCCACCCACACCCACCCACACCCACACCCACACCCACACCCTCCTTGGGATCCTTGAATTCCTTGAGATCCTTGGCTTCATTGGGATCCTTGGCTTCTTTAAGATCCTTGGCTTCCTTGGCTTCTTTGAGATCCATGAATTCCTCGAGATTCTTGGCTTCCTTGGGATCTATGAATTCCTCGGGATTCTCGAATTCTTTGGGATCCTTGAATTTCGTTACGCTATCTTATGCTGTAGTTTCTTAGTGCCCGTACATATTGAATAATATTTGAGTTCAAGAATTCCTCAAGAGTTCGGAATTCACGGAATTCTGACACTACTGGCCGTTGAGGACCGAAGGGTACCACTGTAGGACTGTCCTTGAGGACTCAAGGGTATCCCGATAGGATAACCCTTGGAGACCGAAGAGTATCTCTGTAGGATAGCCCTTGATAACCGAAAGGTATCTCTAAAGGATAGCTGTTGAGGGGCCAAGGGTACCGCTATAGGACAGCCATTGATGATCCAAGGATATCCCTATAGGATAGTCTTTGAGAACCCAACCCATCCCTATAGGATAGTCTTTGAGAACCCAACCCATCCCTATAGGATAGTATTTGAGAACCGAAAGGTATCCATGCAGGATAGCCGATGAGGACCCAAAAGCTACCGCTATAGGATAGCGCTTGAGAACCCAAAGGTACCCTATAAAATAGCCCTTGAGGGCCGAAGCGCATCTCTATAGGATAGTCATTGATGATCCAAGGGTAGTGCTATAGAATAGTCTTCGAGAACCCAACCCATCTCTATAGGATAGTGCTTGAGAACCAAAAAGTATATGTGCACGATAACTGTTGAGGACCGAAAAGGTACCTCAGCAGGATAGTCCTTGAGGACCTAAGAGTGCCCCGGTAGTATAGCACTTGAGTACCCAAGGGTTGCCCTGTAGAATAGTCGTTGAGGACCTATGGGTCCCCTATAGGATAGGTCTTGATGGGAAAAGCTGTTCTCGTGAGCTGAGCTCTTGTGAATAGAATTGGTC